ATTAAAAAAAAAAAAAAAAAAAAGACAACCCTATATACAAAGGACTTAAAGACAATTCTCCAAAGGAAATGTACAAATGGCCAACAAATACTTAGAAAGATGCTCAACATCATCAGTTTTAATGTAGACACTTAAGAATACAGTGTTGCAATTTCTCTAAAAGGCTAAACACAGACTTACCATATGGCCCAGCTATCCTATTCCTAGGAACATACTAAAAAAAAAATGAAAATATACTTCTACTCACAAACTTGTACAAATGAATATTCAGGGCCAGGGATTTAGCTCAGTGGTTCTGCTGCCTGCCTTGCGAGCACAAGAACCCAAGTTCAATCCCCCATACCAAGAAAAAGAATATTTATTACACCATGATTCATAATAGTTACCAAGTGGAAACAACCCAAGTGTCCATTAACTAATGAACAAATTAGCCGGACATGATAGCACACACCTGTAATCCCAGCACTCGGGAGGCTGAGGCAGGAGGATCGCTGTGAGTTCGAGACCAGCCTGGGCTACATAGTGAGTTCCAGGTCAGTCTCAATTACATAGTGAGACCCTGTCTCAAAAAAACAAACAAACAAAAAAACAAAAAAAAAACGAATAGATTAACAAAATGTGTTACAGTATATCCAACAAAATGTGATACAGTATATCCAAGCTATGAAATAGTATTCAGCAACAATAAGGAATGAAAAACAAAGCAAGGGCCAATAGTAGGCCCATCAATAGGAAGGCTGAGGTGGGAGAATCAATTAAGGGTTGGTTTGTTTGTTTGTTTGCTTTAAGACATAGAACTCTATGTAGTTCAGACTGGCCTTGAACTCACTATGTAGCCCAGGCTGGCCTTGAACTCAAGGGCAATCTTTCTGCTTCAGCCTCCCAAGTGCTGGGATTACAGGCATGCACCACCATGTCCAGCCTCAATTATGGCTTTGGAGAACAGCTTTAGTAATACAGTAAGACTCCTTTTCAAAGAAAAAAAAAGGAATGAGGTACCAATATATGCTACTACAACATTATGAAAACGTGCTAGGTGCCATGTACCATATAATACTTTTTAATAATAGCCATTTTAATGAGTGCTAAGTGGTATTTCACTGTGTGCAATTTATATCTAGTCTTACTTATAAATAGAAATGCACTTTATACTGATTTCTATGATTATATGTGGCGCAGCCACTTGAAATCTGAAAGTTACATTGGTCATAAATCAATTCAATTGGAGAGACATGGAGCCAGGTGTGGTGGTGCACACCTATAATCCCAGCACTCAGGAAGTTGAGGCAGCACTGCTACAGCTCAAGGCCAGCCTGAACTACATAGTGAGACCCTGTCTGATTAAAAAAAATTATGAAAGATGACAGGGCTAGGTATGTAACACAATGGCAAAGCACTTGCCTAACATGTGCAAGTTTCCATACCCAGTACCACAAAAGAAAAATGGGGTGGGGGAGATGATAAAGGTGGGTGTGAAGGCACATGCCTGTAATCCCAGCACCCTGGAGTATGAGGCAAGAGGACTGCAATGAGTTGGAGGCCAGCCTAGGCTATACAAGATCCTGTCTCAAAGAAACAAAATGAAATAAAACCAGCTCAACATGGTGGCACATGCTTATAATCCCAGTACTCAGGAGGCTGAGGCAGAAGAAGGATCATTACAAATTTGAAGGCAGCCTAGGCTACATAATGAGTTCAAGGCCAGTCTGAACTATATAACAAGACTCTCTCTCAAAAAGACTGGAAAAAAAATCAAAGAATGAAGACATCTTGAACTCACCATGAAGCCCAGACTGACTTTGAACTCGTGGCAATCCTGTCTCAGTCTCCCTCGTGCTGAGATTACAGTTACACACCACTGCCCCTGGCAAGGACTAACTTCTAAAAACAAACCTAGGAACTGTTTCAGAAATAAATCTTTTAAAAACACATTATCCCTCAGAGATAATACTCATTCTGAATATAGAAAAGTCTAAAATCAAAAAAGTTTGTGAGCCGGGCATGGTGGCACATGCCTAAAATCCCAGCACTCAGGAGGCTGAGGCAGGAGGATCGCTGAGTTCGAGACCAACCTGGGCTACACAGTGAGTTCCAGTGCAGTCTGAACTACATAGTGACATCCTGTCTCAAAAAACCAAGAAAAAAAAAATTAACAACTTGTCCACACAGATCTAAAAAAACAAAAAAAAAAAAAATTAACAACTTGTCCACACAGAGAGAAAAAAAAAAAAAAAAAACTTGTGACAGAGATCTGAAATATAATTTCTGATTTTCCAAAATCCCTGATATAAAGAGAAATAAATAAAATTTCTACTTTTTTAATGTGAATGAACAGAGATACTGTATAGCACACAAATTTTACAGCCTCTCACAACAATGGTCATTAACTCCTTACTAGCTGTAACCTGAATGTGAAATCAGACAACATTCAACTCAAATCTAGCTTTTTGTTTTTTTCCAATGTGATCAAATAACACTAAAATTCTAACATTGTCCCTCAGATGTTTTCATGTTTTGTTAAATTTTAATTGTTCAGGGCCGGGGGGTTTAGCTCAGTGGTGCCACTGCCTGCCTCGCAAGCGCAAGGTCGTGAGTTTGATCCCCAGTACCCCAAAAATTGTTTTTAACTGTTCAAAGTATGTTTAATCAACTAAGAAAATGAAATTGTTTCTCGACATTTTCATTTAAATCAGATGTACAGTACTGTACAAAATATTGCTTGTCTTTTCTGCAACCCACACTAAACAAGAGAGTTTATTCTTACCAAATTTAACTGTAATATATACACATATTTTTTTCATTCCCAAGGACCATGTTTTAAGAAATGTACACTCAAGCAGGGGTGAAATGACCGAAATTTGCTTGAAAATATTTCAGCAAAGGAATTGGGCATAGTAGCACATGCCTATAATCCCAACACTGTGGGAGACTTAAGGGTGTGGAATCACAAATTCTAGCCCAGCCTGAGCAACTTAGTGAAACACCGCCTCGAAATTCAAACAATAAATATATAAAGACTGGAGATGTAGTTCGGTGGGTTCAATTCCCAGTACTGCAAGAAAAAAAATTTTTCCTGCGGGTGTGTGTGGGGGGGTTGAGTCAGGTGAGACATTTGTGACAGCTACTGGCAATTGTTGAATGTGGGCGACAGCAGACAGTGATTCCTATCTTTTCTTTTGTCTATGCTTAAAAGTTTTTCACTGTAACTTTTCCAAAACATGAACTTTTCCCAGTGTTACCGTCCTGGTTATGAAGCACCAGTGGCTGAATGAGGGTGGATGCTCTCTCTTTTCCTTGGAGCAAGAGGCCAAGGGTCTCGGACCAGAGCCACCGTCTTCGGCAGGGCCTGAGCGCCCACCGCCCCAAACCAAGACGCTCAAGCTTGCTTCGCGCCCAAATCCTATAAATCCCCGTGCTCGGGCTCGGGCACCGCGGAGCCGGAGGTGGAGGCCGCGTGCGTGAGGTTCGGCCGTTGCTCCCGGACTCGAAGCTCTGCACTCGGAGGCG